ATCCCAGTTAAGCCCTATAATGAGAGAGTGAAGCTCCTAATCAATCCCAACCACCCCTTAGTCCTCTGCTCAGCAATGAGCGTTGCCACGTTTTATGTCTTCTTTAGACCTCACATTGCAGCTCTAGCAGTGCAAACTGCTAGAGAACTACTGGAGACAGAAAACTATACAATGAATGGAAGAAAGACTTCTTATTTTCATGCCCAGCCACACACATGCAGGAAGTATAACAGAAGAGTGTAGGACACTTACTGGAAAGTAGCCACCAGCTGAGCACGCCAGCCATAGCAGACAGAACAGACAACATTCACCTCTCCATAGGGAGGCATAGTCAGCTGTACCTTCATCGCACGCTCCATCCTACCCATCTACCTGTACTTAAAACACTAGGTGATAGTCCAGTTTCAGAACTCCAGTGAAGTGCCAAGAGCAAAGAGGAGGTGCTGCTCAGTGCTCTGCTGGATAGGGTTAATGTAACAACGAGCAGCAGCTGAGGGGCTGCTGGGCAAATTGCTCTACTCACCCCAAAGTGATTTCTTATCACTTTCAGCTGGTCCCCGGGCACTGCTAGATCACCGTTCTCTATTTAATGAAGACTCCATCTACTTTCTTTTATTGCAGTTTTCTTTTGGTCATCTAAGTCGCTCTTTGAAATGCGACTCTGCTGACCTTCTTCAGGCTCCGATTTCTACTCCCTTGTTTCTTAGGATTCTGCCAGGAGGCTCCCTGACTTTGCACAGTAATGAGCAGTGAAGCCAGCAAAAGATATCTGTTCTTGGGCATCTATGGTCCCAGCAGAGGCAGTTTTGTGATCTCTGAAATTTATTGCAGTTTTCTTTTGGTCATCTAAGTTACTCTTTGAAATGCGACTCTGCTGACCTTTTTCAGGCTCTGATTTCTACTTCCTTGTTTCTTAGGATTCTGCTAGGAGGCTCCCTGACTTTGCACAGTAATGGGCAGTGAAGCCATCTATGATCCCAGCAGAGGCAGTTTTATGATTTCTGAAGGCTGGGTATGAAAGTGCAGAGTAGGGGAGTGAATTCAAGTTTCCTGTATTTCAGACTGGGGTTTCAGCACTAGCTAACTTAGTGTCTCTGGGAAGTTCCCTCTGCTGCTGTGTGCTGTCTAATATTATTTCTTTACTTCTCTCTGTTATATAGAATCACAGCATAATCTAATATTTCCTTATTAATTTTTTGGTGGTGTATGAAATTGCAATAGTTCTGGTAAAACCTCACGGAAAGGAAGGGGAAGTAAGGATGAGCTATTAAAGTACTTCTGGGGCGGCTATTTAGTATTTCACACAGGTCTGGAAGATTTAATCTAAGGGTTGGGCAGTTGTTTCACAGCTGGTTCATTGTACAGATTAAATCAGGCCCCAGGGAAGGTCTGCATGGTGTAAGCAGAATTTCCTGAGGAATGAATCCATAGACATTACATAAATACTCTCTGTAAGAGCATAACACTCATCTACAGATCTCTAAGATAAGGAGATAGCTTGATTTAATTTATTCACAGAGGGTGCGTTACCCCAAAACAGAGAAATAAGCAAACAGATAAATGTTGTTTGGATGCAATCATAAGTGTTTATTGGGAGCAAAGTAAAGGAAAAATACAAGATGGGCCTCAGTGTTTTAAAAAAGGGCCAACAAAATAGTCTGCATCAAACTGATTCACTTTCAGGACATTGTTCTTTTGTGATTCACCTTTCAAATGGACTGAACAAATCACACTGTTCAAGGTGACGTCTATGGATCTTTCTTATCAGACGTATGGGTATCAAAATAAAAAAAATTATCAGAGAAAAAAAATGCATACTCCCAAACAATTAAAACCAGACATGGACCAGTTTTCAGTGATACATGGGCTTTTAGTGCTCTGACAGTGAGAAACAGATTTTACATAATCAGCAATTTGGCCTCTAAGAATGAAAAAGACACATTTTGAGAAAACTGACATTAAAAGCAAATGGAGCGCGACAAAGACTAGCAGAAGAGCGGTTCCCACAGGTGCTGAGCAGCACCCATAGGTTCCCACTGCTTCAGAGAGCCCTGCTCCTCAGCTTGGCTGCACGTCCAGGACTTGCTGTCAGCTCCAACGCTGTTTCTCCTGCCGTCCGCACCTTCGGCCAGGCTTAGCATGGCCCACAGCCCCCATAGCGCTGGTTCCAGAGCTGACCAGAGGAAGAGGAGTAGGAGGACAAGGAGCCCCCATAAACAAGGGAGCCCTGCAGACCCCTGGGGCGGCCCAGCTCAACTGGGGAAGAGGAGCCCACGATGCTCTCCTGAGGGCAGGAGCTGAGGATGGGGCCTGGGAAGGTGATGACCACGGGTGGTGGGTAGACCACGGCACGGGAGTCCCCACAGGAGGTGACGCAGGGCTGGTTCCAGGCATTGGCGATGGGCTGCGGGCAGGCCACCTCGCAGGGTGGGAAGCAGCGAGAGCTGAGCTGCTGGCTGGAGAAGGACATCCTGTGGGCAAGGAGCTGAACCTGCAACACACCAGGGACCCTCAGTCAACCCACTCTTCGTGACCCACCATGCAGACCCCCCCAGCAGCTGGGAGGGCTCAGGACGTGCCATGAGGAGTTGCTCCTCTAAGGTCTGGGTGCTGTTTCTCTCTCTTTCTCTTCCCCTTTCCCTGCCCTCCTTCATAAAATCATGGAATGGGTCAGGTTTGAAGGGACCTTAACGATCATCAAGTTCCAACCCCCCTGCCCTGGGCAGGGACACCTCCCACTAGACCAGGTTGCTCTAAGCCCCATCCAGCTTGACCATCCTTCCTCCCTCCCAGGCTCACCGTACCCTGAGTGCTATCTGATCCAGCTGAGAAGCTTTGCCCATGTCCACCACGCAGTTTACCCTGAGCTCAAGAGTAAAAGCTCCTGGACTGAGCCCCATCTTGACTGAACCCCTCAGACCTGCTGTAGCAGCACGGACAGATCTACAGCGTCCCTGTTTGCCAGTGAGAACATTACGGAAAAAGGTCTTCATGCAAAGCTTGGTGTTGACACCATTGTGGTTCAAGCTGTGTGTGCAGAAGCTGGTTAAAAAATAACCCAAACCTAAAGATAAAACGGTTATGAAGGGATCAGACTTACTCGGATCAACGAGGAGAAGAAGTGAAGACCTGTGATCTGAGGACGTCTGAGCCAGAAGCTCTTATATACCATCTCTTGATTGCCTGGGGTGGTTGAGACATCCTCTGTGTTTCAGGGTTCTTCTGTTACAAAACACAACAGAGCCTGTCACTCCCCAAGTTTCTGTGATTGTTTTATTCCTCTTCGGACAATTATAAATTATCAGTTTCTTCCAACACCCTCTTGCTTCTTCCTTAAACTTTTTGAAGCAGTTTCACTTCCTGCCGCATTTTGCTGATCTGGCCAGCATGACAAAAATGTTGGAAAACTACCTGGTTTACGCAATTGCTCCACGTAGCCAGTATTTTTCACTCATTGCTCAGTACCACAAGTAGTGCCATGCATTGGGGGTTCATTTTCTTCTCGAAATCCCTGCTGATACTGAGTTGAAACACTGTAGGGTTTATAATTGGAATAAAGATGGGAGATTTACCCCATCTGCCTTGTTCCTCGTCCCAGCTCTGGGACACATCTGATACAGCCCACTAGAACATAGAGGTGATTTGGTTTGTGAACTCTTGCAAACCATCTATATTTTCTTTTACCTCTGGACGGAAAACCACAACTACATTCCCTATTCCCTCCCGTGTCCCTCTGGAGCCTCCACACTACAGCCCCAATTTATGCAGGCTGGCACATACTTCTGGCTGCGGTGATATTATGACTCTGTCTGATGTGAGGAAAATGCTTCAATAACAATCATAATAGTGAGGTTTGGGGTTCTTTCCTTACTTGGATGTGAATAGAATGGAGCAAGACAATTCTTAAGAGACACACAGGGGAATGGGATGCTTTATTCTGTGTTTCAGAGCACCCAAGGTTGGGGGTCAGCCACGTGTGCTTCCTTTTGTCCCCAAGGGGAGACCCTGCTGCAAGAGCAGACCCAAGGGGCCATGGCTGAAAGCAGGGGGAACTGAACACTAAAATCCTGACTTTATGGGAGACAGTTGCATTGGACGCTCGTTTGGGTGTTTGCAGTTTCCTCAATGATTCAGTGTCCCAGCACCGACCTGCACCAGGACAGGAAAAGGCTTAAAATTCTGGCATATTCCTTAATATTTCCAGAGAACAATTAATAATGGTCCCCAAGAAGGTAACAATATATTCAGAGTTAAAACATTGTAATGAACATAGAGTATGAAAGCAACTTCAGAAAGAGAAGCTTCAGTATCTGTAAGAAAAAAAATAATAGTATATAGACATACTGCAAAACTGGGAAATTTCCAAGAAGGAAGAACCTGGGAGACACTGAAGGAAACCTGAGCTGAGTAATACTCGATAACAGTGAGGAAACTATTTGCGTGACTGAGGAGTGGAGGTTTGATGTGTAATCTGTGTGTTTGGGAGCTAATTAAGATCTTGTTCATGAGGTGTCAGAGACCAGCAGGCAGCCCAAGAAATGGTATAAAAAGGGCTCACAGCACAGTCAGCCTCAGACAACTGCTCTTTACTTCTCCTCTTCCGTGCCTTGAGTAAGTTTGACCCCACTTAATATTTCTGACTTAAAGCATCATGCTTGAGTAGGTTTAACTGAATCTTTTGGGAATACTCTGTGTGTCTTGCTTATACCTTTTTTCCTTGAAAATGCACTCTGTTCACAGGCTTTGGTAAATGTAGTGGGTTTTGCTGCTAAATCCGGTGATGGGTGATGTCCAGCTTGTTTGCCACAGGTCACTTTGGGGTGGCCAACTTGGGAGAGTGGGAGGGAGGAAGGAGGGGAGGGAAGGGAGAAGAGAAAGAGCCGATTCACATGGCACATCCTGAGCCCTCCCAGCTGCTGGGGGGTCTGCATGGTGGGTCACGAAGAGTGGGTTGACTGAGGGTCCCTGGTGTGTTGCAGGTTCATCTCCTTGCCCACAGGATGTCCTTCTCCAGCCAGCAGCTCAGCTCTCGCTGCTTCCCACCCTGCGAGGTGGCCTGCCCGCAGCCCATCGCCAACGCCTGGAACCAGCCCTGCGTCACCTCCTGTGGGGACTCCCGTGCCGTGGTCTACCCACCACCCGTGGTCATCACCTTCCCAGGCCCCATCCTCAGCTCCTGCCCTCAGGAGAGCATCGTGGGCTCCTCTTCCCCAGTTGAGCTGGGCCGCCCCAGGGGTCTGCAGGGCTCCCTTGTTTATGGGGGCTCCTTGTCCTCCTACTCCTCTTCCTCTGGTCAGCTCTGGAACCAGCGCTATGGGGGCTGTGGGCCATGCTAAGCCTGGCCGAAGGTGCGGACGGCAGGAGAAACAGCGTTGGAGCTGACAGCAAGTCCTGGACGTGCAGCCAAGCTGAGGAGCTCTCCAAAGCCTTGGGCACACATGACTGCCAGCTAATCCATTGGGACCCATGGGTGCTGCTCAGCACCCGTGGGAACCACTCTTCTGTTTGTCCTTCTTATGCTTTTATTTTTTTTTGCTTCTGATGTTCTTGCTGTAAAACTGCACTGGTTTCTCAAAAAGTGTGTTTTCCATTCTGACAGTATGGGTGAGAAATGGAGTCATTTTGTGCTTCAGCCTCTCTGTGAACTGGTTTTCTGTTTTTCATCTTCAACCCTGATAATGTAATAAAATTTATATCAGGGATGTTGTTTTGCTCTCCTGTGCATTAGGCTTTGGGGCTGAACAAAGCCTTCCCACAAGCTGCAAAGCAAAACTTGGTTGGGAAAATTGGATTGGCCACAGGAAAGAAAGAGCACCTTGAGTGAGACATTCATTCCGTGTTGAAAAATTGCTTGTAATCAGGTCTGAGAAACTGGAAACTTGCTTTCAATTTTTTTTTTTGTTTTGTTATTAGTGTAAATGTCATTTCTTGTTCCTAATAAAAAATCATGCTGCATCCTAATATTCTCTTTTTGTTTTATTCCAACCTTTCTTCACACCCCCTCCCTTACATCCCTTGATTAGTTGATGATTATAAATATACCTAAGTACATAGGGCCAGGATATGTTCTCTGCAATGCACAATTCCTCCTTCCCAACAGCTAGAACCAGAATTGTACAGGGCTAAAGCCATCATAAAATGCTTTTTCGCTGGGAAGTATGTGCACTTCAGGACTCAGCCGAAGAATACGTATGCAGATTGTTGTTATTAGGGTTAGTATACGCCAATATTTAGCATAGATACATTTTTATATTCAAACAAATATATCCACTTGACTTTTGTCCTCACTTTATATCCATGTCGTCAATGTGCACACGGAGCTGGCTGAACCTTGCACACTGGGTTTTTAAGAAAAAAAAAAAAAAAAAAAAGATGTCTTTGGGATGCAGGGGAATATAGTCTGGAAGTATTTTAGTAGCTGACTGCATGAAGGTGACATCCTGTGCCTGATTAGGCTGGTGGGCTTTATTCTACTTATATCAGATAGAAAAGTCTGTTGTTACACAGCCCTATCATCACAATTACACAAGCAGCTCTGATATTTAAGGAAGATTTTTAAGAAATCAAAGCCTCCAAGAAAGAAATTGCCGGAAACTGGAGAACCTCTCTGCTCCCAAACTGGGGACAGTTTAGTGTCATCTCAGAAATAAAACCAACACCCCCACAAAACAACACTTTCATTGTGGCAGCAATGCTGTCTCGGAAGGTCCTAGATATGCGTGAGTAATTCTGATCTGGAAGTGCAACTGCAATTTTCATACAAGTTGAGGGTATGCCAACAATGCTGCTCGCAGACATGAATTCACCTCGTCTAGAGGTGTCTGAGATAATTGTGATTTACTTGGCTTGAGATGATAAACTCTCAGAGAAGCCACAAGAGCGCAGTGCTGAGTCTTGTGTGAGCGTAATGAACACATTTTACGGTACCAGCAAGGTTTTGAGGCCATTCCAGCAACAGAGTTTAATGTGTCAACATCGACAGCAACCATGCTTTTTGGCTCGAAGTATAGTCATACCAAAAGCATAAATACTATTTTTTAAGAACTTTGAAACACTGTTCTTCAAACAGACAGTGCTACTCAACCCCTCCTTGTTGGCAGTTACTCTTTTTTCATTGCATTCTCCATCTCTCAGGTGGCACATCTGCTATGGTGCTGTTATTTGGCTCCTCCTAGGGTGTAGTAGACGCACCAGTACAACCTGGGTGTGCTGTGTTGCCAGACGAGACAAATTCCACCCACGTAGTGTGAGATGCACTCCTGGATGGGTGACTTCAAAGCCGTCCACCAAAGGCTTGGGAGAACTGCACAGAAATACCTGGGTGTCCTGAGCAGAGTTTGGATTTCAATTACAAACTGAAATGAAGGATGTCCCTTTGTGATGCTCATCCAAGCTAGTCAGGAAGAGTTTTTAGTCATGTTTGTGAAGAAATAATGCAAAATCAATTCATATAAACTTTTGTAGATACATGTGAATGTCTTTTTTTGATGGTGTTACAATAAAATTATGTGCTTGATAGAGATAAAAATATTTTATGCTAATTTAGTAAATGGGTCTGATGATTGTTCATGTACAATGGATTCATATGTCACACTAACTTTGCTTGTCATAGAGCTATTTGTCTCAGAATATTTCACTCTACCATATTTGCACTGGGAAAAACGGCTGTGAATGGTTTAAGTCAGTAAAGAACAGGAAAATCCCATTATAAGGGCAAAAACGTCAAGATGGCATCCGGCTGCCACTTTGTGGGTCTGTAAAATGACAAAAGCAAAGCACAGGGCTGTAACCCCAAACATCATGAGTCAAAAGAAGCAGTTTGGGGTGTCAGCAGTATTCATAGCAGTATATTACTCCCATTGCCCTCTCAAGAGGGCAGGACGGTTAGAAGAGGGATGCATCTCCAAGACTGATGTGATTCATCTGGAGGTATCTGTGGGTATCTGTCATCACTGTCATCACCTGTTTCCAGACAAAGTGAAACCAGGTGTGGTTCAGGCAGGAGGAGCAGATGGGGTGGGTCGTTTCCCCACAGCATCTCCTTCCCTTTGTTTCTATTCCTGTTTCTCGTTTATGTTAATCGTCTACCATAAACGGTCACTAGCTTTTTAGGGCGTCTCCACAGGAAACAGCACAGAGGGAAATCCCAAGGTGGCCCCGGAAAAGAGGTTTCCTCAACCTTCTTGGTGGGTCACTTGTAAAGCATCACACTGCAGTACTGGAAACAGTTACCAAATGCCAATGGACAAACTGAAATAAAATTAACATTTTTGAACAGAATTCTCAAGGTTCCTCAAAAACCAGCCATTCAACCTTAAATTCCCTGGAAGGGGATGGATTTGAGAGGGGAAGAACTCATCTTCTTGAGGTTAAAAAGGCGTTTGTAAATTATGTCAACTCAGATGCACAAAATGAATAGCGTCTATAGTTTTATCAGTAAATAACTGAGGAACTGAGGCCAGAGTACTGGATGTGAGGATGAAGTCTCCTAAAGTATGCGGCCAATCTTCTGCATCAGCTGAAACTGCACATTAAGATTCCAGCCCAAGGTTTCTCTATGGTGATGCACGGCTTCACTCCCTGACCTGTTTCATCCCAAACCATGAATCGTCCATCACTCAGGAGCCCTGAGTTCTTCAACAATGATCCCATGGTGTCTCTGAGAATGAAAGCTGGACATGAATATCTCATTGTCTGAGGCTCCTGTCCCCTGTTCTAGGGCCGGACAACAGCAGCTCCCTGCTTATAGGTTTCTTTTAAAGTTTGAAGTGGGCCGTGCGCTTTACATTTGTTTCTTGGCCAGGAGGACAGGTTCCCATTTCCAAACCTATAACTCGGGAGGAAGGTGTCTATGGAGTGGAATGTGCCTCATATCAGAGTCATAGGAATTAATGTGCGTGGGTATGATGGAATAAATTGCACAATGCCCCCTTACTGGGGCATGACTTGGAAAAGTGGGGTAGTATCTCGGGTACATCAGCATATTGTGTTTATGGATACACTTCTGAGCAATCTTTCCTCCATGAGGCAATCAGAGAAATGGGAAAAAGCAATAAAAGAAAAAAAGTTACACTGCCAGAGTAATCAGAAAAATGCAATAGTAATCACCATGGCTGGGCAAAAATAATTGCGTTATCTGGGGCAGTTACAGGTGGAGTGAGTTTTTGTTTGATAATTCATTAGGACATCATACATGAAGAATGTTTCATACCCTCCCAATTGCCTAAGAAAAGGCATAAAAGCGTTCCCAGTTCTGGGCTGCTCTGACCATTTCTCCTGACTTGCTCTGTGCTCTGAGAGGGTAAGTGGGAGCCTGATGCTATTGTTATTAATATGTTGCTGTAACAATATGGGATTTTGACTGAAGCAAAACTGTGATTCTTAGAAGCGTGTGAAAACTTTGGAGCTTTCTTTCAGAAAGAGCTATTTCCTAGTCATTTGGTGGTAGGGTGTAAAAAGGCAGGAAAAGAGTTTTGAGAATAGTTAAAAGTTGGTTTGGTGGTAGGGTGTAAAAAGGCAGGAAAAAGAGTTTTGAGAGCAGTTAAAAGTTGAGGATTTGCAAACTTATTTATAAGGAATTTTAGTGAATTCTTATTTCCTCCAGGAAATGAATTTGCCTTACTTTGCTTGCTTTGACTTGTGTCTACCAAGAAAAGTTAACTCTGACTCTCAGACTGAACTAGGAAGCTGACTCTCAGTCTGAACAATGAATTTGCCTTACTTTGCTTGCTTTGACTTGTGACTACCAAGAAAATTTAACTCTGACTCTCAGACTGAACTAGGAAGCCACCGTTAACAATAATGTTTTGTCCTGTTCTTTGCAATTGTATCTGAGTTAATTTGAAGCCTGTCATGCATTACATCATGTACTTGTTATGGTCAGGACTTTACTTCTTTTGTTTATTCCCAGCCTTTCATTGTATGGGTTTTAGTAAGGCAGGACAGAGATCAAGCAGAGCTACAAATCAATGTTATGAGTGATCAAGTGATCTTATGATTAAAGAAAATGGCTTCACAAAAATATGCACCATTCCTACTTCTGCCTGTCATCTGTCGCCTTGGTCATCTTTAGCAGCTCTGCTGGAACCACGTTCACAGGGGTCCCAGTTATACTGGAAACCTCCCTGACACTGCCTTCCTACCCAAACATGGGATATTCTGCCAAGCAAGCTCTCTTTATGAGCTCTTCAGGGATGTGGCTGCTACTTATTTTATCTCTGTACAGAACATGCGGGGGAGCCCTGGTGCCAACTAGAACATCTGAAAGATTGGGGAGTAACACTGCCATTAACAGCTAGGCTTGCCTGGATTTTAGCTCTGTCTGTCCTCTTACCTCACCAAATAGCTCTGGGCAATGCATTCACTTCTAACCCTCAGTTACCTCTTCCTTAAAGCTGGAATAACAATGACTTGCCTCATAGAGTTGTGATGATTACAGGTGGCGCAGAACCTGCACAGGATGTTACTGTACAAGTGTCAGCCAGTGTTTCTCTTCTTTTCTGCAGTTACTTATAAAAGAAATGGCCGAGTGTCACAATAAGTGAGATTCAAAAGGGAATGGTGGAAAGGAGAAATGGGATAGGAGGACAGCTTGAGTTCAAACGCACTATTTCTTTGATTGTAAATGATGTTTTTATGTATCAAATTGGCTCCATAATTAGGAGGCAAAAGAAGCTGAGATTGTTCTGGAGGAGAGGAGAAGGCATGGGAAGATGAGTAAAGGGACATGGCTGCTGAGACAAAACTGAAATGTTCAGCTTCCTTCTGGTCTTCTCGCTATCTTCCATTCTTTCTCTTCCAAGCACAATTTCCATTATACTGGTATCTGAGCTTTCAGCCTTGTGTCGTCCCGGTGTTGTGTGTTTCAGATTTATCTCCATTCCCAGAAGATGTCATCCTACAGACAGATGATCAGCTCCCGCTGTCTTGCACCCTGCGAGGTGACCTGCCCACAGCCCATGGCCAACGCCTGGAACCAGCCCTGTGTTACATCCTGTGGTGATTCAAGAGCCGTGATCCACCCACCGCCCGTGGTCATCACCTTCCCAGGCCCCATTCTCAGCTCCTGCCCTCAGGAGAGCATCGTGGGCAGCTCAGCACCATCCAGCATTGGGAGCTTTGTTGGATCCATGAGCTCTCTGGGTTCCAGTGGCTCCTATGGCTCTCGGAGCCTGTACAATTACGGGAGGTCATATTCTTCCTATGGATCCGGTGCTTATGGTTTTGGGAGCTGCAGACCGTGTTAAATATGCAGTGAATGAGAAGCAACCACCCAACATGGAGGAAGATGTGCCTCCACGATCCTGTTACTATCACTCCTTTCCCGGAGCATGAACTGTGCATCTCTGAAAATCATACTTACATGCATTTCTCAAGCTAGCAGTTTAATTTAGGTTTTTGACTGTTTTCTCCAGTGGCTCATGACAACAATGGCCTTGAATTAGTTATATCAAAGATCTTTGGCTGGTTGAAAGTGGGACAAGATTCTTTAAGTCTTCCCATGGCATAAAAAAGAAAGAGCAATGTATGTGGAATGCATAGCCCTGGAGCAATTCTTTGCTTACAGCCTCTAATGAGACCCCAGCAATATTTTCCCTGTGTCTCAAGAAGGTCTTTAACTTCTTACTTTCTCATTAAATTATTGTGCATCAAAATTCTGAACTTTCTTGTCTTTTTTTTCTTTTGTGCCCTATTTTCTGTTTATGTACTGCTCTTGGTGAGCATCAATCCCTCTAGTAAAACATGCCGGTGTTTGCTTTCTTTTAATGCCTCAAGTTGGAAAGTGGCCAGGTCCTTTAAGCAGGAGTGAACATAATGACTGCCTTCTGCACAGAAGTAATTTCATGCTGGATAAACATGTTTTGTAACCCTTACAACTAAGTTTGAAATCTCCTCCAGGACAGGTGTGGTTACAGCATGTATTTGGTACATGTTAGCAAAGAAAGTTAAGCAGACAAGTGACTTTGAAGATCTTCCCTGTGTCTCACTCCTTGCCTGAAGCTCCAATTTAATTATATCCCTATACCTTGGTTTTGTGATATTTTTCATTGTTTAAAAATAGCATGTAGTGATCTGTGGGTAGAATTTTCCTTTGAATAGCCAACAGGAATTTTTAACCAGATAGCAAATCTTTGCTGAAATTCTGTGAGTTCTGTGAACTTTCCAATTAAGACCTCTAAATACTTGGCAGCCCCGGTCAAGATAAATAAAAGAATAATTCTTGAGTCTTCCCATATCATTTAGGCCACATAACGTTTTCCATCTTGGGAATTTTACACCTAAATTTCAGGCTACACAAAGATGAGTGTGGATACTGGGCATGTCCAGCACTTCTCTTTTCAACAGCAGCGTCATCGAGGCTGCCCAGTATGTCCTGTAGAGCTGTTTTTAATACTGATGCAATTTGCATACAATTAGCACAGCTATTAAGAGGCGTTCACCCCATCCTAAGCTTGCAATGCCAACCAGGATGGACCAGACATCAGACACTGCTCAGCACTTCTGGTGTTCCCCGTGTGAAGCTTCTCTTCCTGGGAATACCATGAAAGCCCTGACAACTTCCCTCTTCTTGAGCAGGCTCATTCCAGGCAAACCCCATCTCACGCTGCAGATATTTGTTTGGACAAGACCAAGTATGTGGTAATAACTTCAAAGTTAATAACTCGGAGGTGTGACTTCACTTGTAAAACAAGGTGAAATGAGACAAGGTAGCCAGGCAACACCTCTTTCTTGTCAGGATGTGTCTGAAGGCTTTGCCTTGTTTCCATGTGTCCTCCGTCTCCAATGCTCAGAGTCACTGGGACTAGGTATGCAGAGCACTGAAGCAACCAGATCAGATGTTTTCAAGGCACAACGTTATGGTGTTGATCACCACAGAAGTCCTCTTTTCAAGATTTTGGTTTTCATCCCACACAGAACAGTCGAATTACCCGTCTTGCACTGGACCTGCAATAGCAGCCAACTTCTGCTGCGGTGAAAGGGTGCAGTCAATCATCCTCAGGTGTGGGTGTTGTCAGCAGACCTGGATGAAGCTGCTCCACCTACGTACTTGTTATACTGCAGAAAAGGCACAAGTGGGAGCTAGAAGTTAGAGCCTGGACCACAAATAGATCTCTGTAGTTTGTATTCATTGATCAATGGATTCTGCTGACTTTTCATGGTGCTTGAAGACATAGCACTCCAGAACACCTCTATTTGGTAAAGTTCCCTGCACAGGCTGTCCTTTGAAGGGCAGGAACTGCAAGATTTGTATTGCCAATTGTCATCTGCCAGCCTGAATTTGCATGTTGTGACCGTAGACCAGAGGAAACACCAAAGGACAAGTCTTCCACTGCCTTCCATTGCTCTGTACTGCTTCAGATCAGCAATCTGTCACTTCCCAAATGCCCAGCAGGTTGAATGATTTTGCTTTCATGTGAGTGAAATCACAGATGAACACAATAAAAGAGAAGAGACCTAATTTCACTGGCAGACCCAATGCATCTCAGGTCATGCCGCATGCAGATACGAGATGGGAGGAACACGACCTTGCTGTTTATCATGATCACAGAATGGTCAAGTTTGGAAGAGACTTTTGGAGATCATCTAGTCCAACTCCCTGCAAAAGCAGGTTCACCCAGAGCAGGTTGGACAAGAACGCATCCAGAAGGGTTTTGAATATCTCCAGAGAAGTAGACTCCATGATAATTTGGAAGCAGTGCTGAGATTCTGATGGCTTTTTGGCCACTGCAACACAGGGATCACTGCCTTCCATTGCTCTGTACTGCTTCAGATCAGCAATCTGTCACTTCCCAAATGCCCAGCAGGTTGAATGATTTTGCTTTCATGTGAGTGAAATCACAGATGAACACAATAAAAGAGAAGAGACCTAATTTCACTGGCAGACCCAATGCATCTCAGGTCATGCCGCATGCAGATACGAGATGGGAGGAACACGACCTTGCTGTTTATCATGATCACAGAATGGTCAAGTTTGGAAGAGACTTTTGGAGATCATCTAGTCCAACTCCCTGCCAAAGCAGGTTCACCCAGAGCAGGTTGGGCAAGAACGCATCCAGAAGGGTTTTGAATATCTCCAGAGAAGTAGACGCCATGATAATTTGGAAGCAGGGCTGAGATTCTGATGGCTTTTTGGCACCTGCAACACAGGGATCACACAGAAACATAGAACAGTTTGGGTTGGAAAGGACCTTTAAAGGTCTTCTAATTCACCCCTCTGCAATGAGGTGGGACATCTTCAACTAGATTAGGTCTAACTGTGAGGTCTCCTGCAGTTCCTGGTCAGCCATGGGAAGCCCAGGCTGTTGACAGTTAACACCAGCAACTCAGACTCCCATTCCTCCTGTCAGGGAAACAAGTAATTATCAAGAACAAGGAAGCAACAATAAATGAAATCACAGTGTCTCGTGTTGAACTACAGAGGTCACTACACTCTCCTATCTCTCATCAAAATGTGCTCTGAGCATGTGTTTATATCCCAGTACAAGGTAACGCTATTGGTAAATGAGATGCAATCAGAAGTTGATTCATAAAGGTGTTGTAAACACAGCCTGAAGTGTGTGTCCTCCCCACGCACTAAATTACAGTTCAAGACAGATATCTGTGGGAGTTAAGCCTTTCGTGGTTGATTTCAATAGGCGGATTCACTAAATATTTAGTCACTACCAGGGCCTAATGGTTTTTTATGTGGTTCAGACTCTCACCACCAGTAAATAGCCTGCAGGCGCAATGGCTCAACATAACAGAACCAGAAATATGCCCCGCTGAGTGCCAGCTTCCTTCCAGGGTTTGATTCTGGAGGAATTAGCAAAGCGACTACTCACAGTCTACCTTTTATCAGTTTTGCAGTTACAGTATCTGAACTTGAATGTTTCAGATGTTTGGAATAAAGTGCTATCTCTATCAGAGAAACCTGAAGAAAGGAATATTTTTTTTTTATCTCATTCTGCCCTTCTATTTATAAAATGAATTATAATAGACCATGTCTTGAATCCTGAGGTCACTGGGTTTTGGAAGTCTTCAAGGTCAGGTTGCACGGGGCTTTGCTCAACCTGTTCTAGTGAAAGATGTCCCTGCCTGTGGCAGGGGGTTGGACTAGCTGGTCTTTAAAACTTCTTTCCAAATGGCAGGGGGTTGGACTAGGTGGTCTTTAAAACTTCTTTCCAAGCCAAACCATCCCATGATTCCATGATTCTATGATCTGTTAAATTTCACATGTTCTGTATACTACTGGCCATGCCATGTACAGTCTTTCAGCTGAGATTGTTTTCAGTTCTTTTCCTCTTTTCCTAAAGGAGATAAGAGTAGAAGTGAAAAGGAGACCTGATCTAACCAGTGGAATAAAAAACTGGAAAAAGAGAGTGTGTCACAATTGTTAGATGGGGATATTTGGGAGAGGATAATTCAGTCCTGGATTTTGCCAAGTGATTCCTTTGTCACCTGGGGAAAACATTTACTAATGTTTTTATCAGCATGGAAAACACGGCCTTTAATCTCTGTGTAAAAGATGCCTATCTGCAAAAAAAGGGAAAAGAGCAATGTTGCTCATGCTTGGCTTGGCTTGTTTATTCACTCCGAAAAGCACTTGAGGGCAGGGATTGGCTTTATTCTTTGTTGGCGCAGCACTGAACGTGCCTCATCTGCAATTTGAACTGGTTGCACTACCAGAAGCTTAGGACCAAGTCTCTGCTGCTCCTGAGACTGTACTACAGTTATTTCTTAGAGGGAAAAGGGATTGTTCCTCTTTCTTACTGGTGTTTAAAGGCTGATGGCTGCAAGGTGGAAGAAGTCTTAGCTGCTTGGGGTGTCTGCGATGTCTGGAGTTTAAGTACTGGTGAGCAATGTCAGTGCTGTAGATTGAGCATTTATGTCTGTACATTTATAGTTGTAAATTCAAGTTTGGAAAGTAGGCTGTTATGTCTGTACATTTATAGTTGTAAATTCATGTTTGGAAAGTACGCTGCTGGGCAGCACCTTGATAGTATTTGTGGTCATGCTGAGTTCACCATGGAAACCCACAATTCCCTGGTTGGATGCCCATGGAAAAGCCCCATTGAAACCATGTTTAAATAACAGGAGTTAAGAAACTATGCTATTTTAACTTTTCATATCTTCAAAGGGTGGAAAGCTACTACTCAGGATGGTCATTGTGGAAACATTTGTGACACTGTGTAAATTCAGTCTAAAGGGGCTAAAAGGTTCTGCCCTAGAGCTTAGTGAGCAGCTTGGTCCTGCCCATGGGAAGATATCACCCATGCAAAGTTGGGGATGAAGGGAGGAAGGGAAACCAGAAGGCTGCTGTGTGATGCAACAAAACTTTAATGAGCAAGAAATGCTTATGTTTGCAAAGCAAGATAACACAGAATATGAAAAAATCTGTTTCCAGACAATGTCAGAGAATGTTCAACAAGTGTCCTGCTCAGAGGTATTGCTGTCCACAGCTGGCTTCCTTCTGTCTGTTGTGCAGCTGCTGCTGAAGATACTTGTCATTAGGAGTGATGTCCATATGAAACAGGCTGGTTCTTGAACATATGGCTTAAAAAAATGGGGAAGCCCGAACAGGCAACAATAGAAACTGAAGGGTAAACAAAAATAGAAGAAAGATCAGAAATGCTAAGTGGCAGTAGCTCCATTGCAGGGCGGCAGGAATGCTCAACCCCCATCCTCATTGCTCTGCTTTTGGACCTTCATGGGCGGTTCTTCTGAGACTTCTCTGCTGCCTCTAACAGGGTCCACAGCTGCTGCGGAGGAAGCGGCTGGACCGGCGGTAGGTGTACGGACTGCAGTACCCGCTGCCAAGCGTGGAGAGGGCTGAGCTCCCATATCCATACTGGGACCCATATCCTAGAGAGCCCCCATAGCTGTAGGGGCTCCCAGCGCCGTAGAGGCCCCCTAGCCCCACATTGGCCCCAATGGCCGGTGCTCCAGAGGAGCCCACCACGGCTTGCTGGGGGAAGGAGCTGAGGATGGGGCCGGGGAAGGTGACCACAACAGGGGGTGGCTGGATGAAGGCCGTGGAGTCGGGGCACTGGCGGACACACGGCTCATTACAGCTGTTAGCGATGGGCTGGGGGCAGGCGACGCTGTTGGTGGTGGGGCACAGGTCGTAGCAAGACATCTTTCCTTGCAGGGATGAAGGTGATTCTGAAACAGGGAGAAAAGATTTGTGTGAAAACAGAGCACGAGATCTACTGGAACAACAGGTCAACGTTTGGTGCTAGGTTGTTGGGGCACAGGCAAAATGATCCCCTGATGCATAAGGGAAATTGATGACGCTGCTCACAAACGTTCCTGTCAGTCAACATCGCTCTGATCTTCCCCAACCAGTAATCCCTGCACTTGTCACATCTGTCAAGACTGCTGAAATTGCTGCTTCTTTCTTTTAAAAAAATTCACGCTGCCTCCCAGAGGAACAGAGTTTTACTAAACACATTTTTACTAAGCACGTTTACTAAACACATTTTACACGCTTACTAAGCACATTTTTCACTAAAACACCCGTGCTCCTCCCTGGTGGATGTGGGTTGGAAACCAGGAGCTGCAAGAGCTACACTAGAGCTGACGTCCTTGTTACACCAAAGGGGACAGAAGCAGGTTTTGGTTTGGGAGAGATGGGGTGGAATCAAGAACCCAGCACTGCTTTAACCACACATCATCTCCTCTTTTCCTGTTCCCTGCTTCTTTTCAAGCTCTTTGGGGTAATATGCTTAAAAGTTGTTCCATTTTAGTTCTACATCCTCTTAACCTCTGTAATCCCTCTGGTAAGGCCCCCAAAGCATTTGAGCCTGAGGACAGATTCATATACTTGATGTAATAAGTACATATACCCTATAAAATATTTCTATCCTAATATTTCTTGGCATAGCAGTGTAATTTCATATAGAATGAGAAGCAGGTTAGTAAAATGTGAGGAGCTGATTTCCTTCAACAGATTAAAATACAGTTTGCAAAGTACCATTTCAGCTAAATGTCTGCTCATAAAGGCTTGAGGCTTAGCACCTTTTCCAGTAAAAAAGGGGAAAGATTATTTTGCTCCTAAAGTAGCCCAGAATCACAGAGAATCTAATCAATGAACTCAGTGTATCTGAACAGCTGATTTACAAAGGGACATATGACAAAGACACTGGATCAGATCACCACTCCTCTTCCCTTCTTACTGTCTCTGGTGAAAATAACTTAGGTTTAAAATAAGCAGGATTTAGTTTTTACCTACCCATAAAAACTAAATACAATCTAGGATTATTCTGCAATAAAATTCTCATGTAGATAATGCTCTTTCTTCAGCTGGGTGATTAAACTGCTCAGGGTATGGCCATGTCTCTCTGCTTCAATCATTAACTGAAATGGTACGGGAAAATTCTGCGTTTTACAGCTCATGTCATCCTACGTTTTCAATCTTCTAACAGTATAAGAATGCCTAAATATCAATTACAGAGAAATAAACGCCTAAAGCCCTGGTCTTGACTCCATAATCCTACCAGTAACACAACAAAGAAAAATAACAAGGAGAAAAAAAGGAAGAGAATAAAAAAATAGACCTAAAAACTCTAGCGTCCTAGCAGTGAGCAGGATTCTAAGATGCGGTGAAAAGACATTCTGGCATTTAGAAAGAAATGAAATGGCATCAGACTTACCTGCTGTAGAGGAGAGTGAGAGGAGAAGAAGATGGACTAGGTCTGCGTACCTGCTCCTTTTATACAGTGCCTCGGGTTGCCTGGGGGGGGCTGAGGCACTCACATGAAGTCATAATCACTAACCAGCCCCAAACTGTATAACTTCCCAAAGTGATGAAACTGTTTTTGCTGGCTGTTTGCAAAATCACCCTAAATCTCTGAAGAGCATGATATGCACATTCCAGCTACCAGTTCTCTTTCATCTTGAAGCCTAATTGACCAGCTTCGTTGCTGGTATCATTCCGCCCTGCTCACTGGCATTGCAGGGCAGAATTAAACTGGTTCTATTTACTTAGCACTTCCTTCATTAACTTCCCGTAATGATTTTAATCAGAGCTATAAACCTGCTGTCATATACATGTTTGGATTTAAGTGCTTGAGATCAAGGCTGCAATCTAACCTACTCACACGTTTTGCAATAAAATATTCGGTTAGGTGGAAGGCACCTTCTGATCCCTTTCCCACCCACAGCCACAAAACAGGAGAGAGGTCCCATACTCGTGGTAATCACAGACATTGTCTCATGGGCTTTGGTTTCGAATGTCTGACTTTTCCTTGCTGTTAGGAAAAATCAGCAGAAAACAGCATTTTAGTACCTGAGAAGGTGTTAAAACTAAAGGTTAAAGTTCTCTCTAAAGGGATATCAGTATTTTTTCCTTATTTTTTGACATGGAATCTGCCAAGACACACAGAGATTATCTCACAGGGTCAGAAATGTGGAATGACTGCAAATACAAACAGATTAATAGTTACTAGCTCTGCTGTATTGACATTGCAGAGCTCCGAAGGAGGACATAACCCAGGACAGTGGTGAGGCAGGCACAAATTTCTTAGTTTCTTTTGAAATTATGTCTTTCTGTCCACCGCTGTCTTCATTTAGTCTTTATTTCCTCTTCGCTTTTGATCTACTCCTTCACCTTACAAAGCGATTGAACCAAAGTTTCACTGGAGGATGTCACAGAAATAATTTTTCAGTGCTTTTTCCCAGATTACTGGGTAGGTGGCAGGAAAAATGATGGAATTATCTGAGGCATCCTTATTGCAACAATGGATTTATTTTTTTCCCCTCCTCATTTTTTCCTGATGTTGTGTCCCAGTCCAATTGTTGGCCCGGGAGGGGTTCTAACACCTGACCAGCAGGACATGACCTGCAGAGTGTGTATTGTTGCAGAGCCAAATTTTCACTTGCCAAGATTTCAAGTGCTTTGTCATTTGAAATTACTCAGCCTTCCCCAATACTTAGTGGGGTGGGACAAGAATTTCTGCAAGACAATTCATCCCGTCTCAGACGCTTACCTTCCCAGAATCGGTATCACCCTCAAAACATAACAATTTTGCTTTCATTGACTCTGGAGACAGACAAGCTCAACTGAAACACCCAGCTTTTAAACAGGGAAGGTTTGATGAGGTGTGTCCCACCCATATTCCCGTATTCTGAAATTCTGTGTAATAAGCAGTGCCTGGTTGAGCCTCAGAAATCATCATTTGCTGATGAATCGGTTTGTTATATAACAAACACAGCAACATTTCTACCAGAAGTGATATGCAAATGATGAGGTTCTTTTTTTTCCCCCCGACTTTGTGATGGCCCTAGGGGATGGCAAGAGCAATAATACTCACAAAGGGTGTTCAAATATCTTTTGTGTGTATTTTTAAGCACTTCCCAAACCCTCCTTAGTAGTTTATGTATGAAGCAGTGTGTCGTTATTGTGATGTAAGTATGTGGTTAGATTCAAGCAACTCAGCATTTTGAAATATATTTATTAAATTGTGCTGCTCAAGTGCACTCTTCCTGTTCCCTTTACCAGCTCATGAGTTCTGACATTAGGATTTCAGCTGATATTCTTTTACCATCTTTTATCTGATATTTGACATTCTTTTATTTCATCTTTTGAAAGCTTTCCCTAGGACTTTCCAAATCTAGCTGTGCGTGGTCTACATTTCTTCTGTGTTTTAAACACACACTCAACTTCCTTAAAATATATATATTTAACAAGTTGCCTGTAATCTGGCTAAGAAACTGTTTACCTTTGTTATGAGCGATGAATTTACTTCTAAAACATGAAGAAACTGAATGACCGGGTAGTCTGGGAGACAAGGCATGGGTTTGGATTATTTTAAAAAGTCCTTTGCAATGTACCTTTTGATTTTCCCCTGAAAAACGGAGGATGGTCCTGTCCAAATCTTAATTCCAACTTCATGTAAGGGTTGCTGATTTCACAAGAAAGACACCGTGTTTTCTATCAATTATACTTTATCTAGATGGGTAAGAAAGGATGGAAAGAAAAGCTGCACATGAAGCAGATGGCAATTATGATTAACATTTGAGCCACCATCGTTATGTCACCCAATAAAAGAAGAGGTAAATAAGTGAAGCCAGCATAATTCCTCCTGTCATTCTAATGTGTTTGATGGAACGTTATCAGGAACGAATCTTGCCAATTAAGTGCTAAGATGAAAGAAATATTTGTTTTGTAATGTGCATTTTATGCAGCGTGAGAATTTGAATCAACTAATAAACATAAATATTGAGCAAAACTGTTTCATCATTTTGAGGTGAACCATGGGTGATAAATGTGGGCTGGTGATAATGGGAGTCTCAGATTCTTCAGGCAGTTTGAGGAAATGTATAAAAAGTCCCTCCTGAAAACCGCCTTCTGTTTATTTCTCTTGCCCCTTCTTCCCAGAGCCACCTGTTTTCTAGACATCAAAGTGTTCTTTTTCCATAAATTTAAGTTAGTCTTCTTTTGTCATTTATGAGGAGGCAATGTTATATACAGGTTTTAAGGGCGAAGCTGGTGTTTTCCACAATGTATTGTACAGGAGCTGTCTGCTCTCCACTAACTCAAACCTCAGGTTTAGAATCTGTTAAACAAGTACCAAAACCCCACCTGTAGCCCTACAAATGGCTTTCTTGCCCCACAACAGCCTCAGTCGCAGCCGTGGTTAACAGAAGATAAGTCCTCTTCAGAATTAATTACTTGGTTTTCCAGTTGTCTGAGGAAGCATGTGAAGTTCTATATTCCCATGTTTCCACTAAGCAATGATTAACCATCACTTGAAAATCATTTTTCTTCCCGGTCTCATACAAAGTTGAGGAATTACATCCACAGCAGCAAGTAGATCTTGGTGGGGTGGCTACAATTAGGTGGGATGGATGTGGAACTCAGTGTTGCAGAGGGTCCAGACTGCTATGACTTCCCCATTTTCGTGAGATCTCAGCTTTTCCTCCAGTTCCAGAGGAATTTGTCCTGTGTTACACTTACACTTAGTCATGTCTCCAGTTGGCCAACTCATGTCCAGCACCAAGACCTGGAAGGAGCTGAATGCCATTACCTGAGGGCATTGGCTCAGCCACCATCTGTTGTCACCACCTTACAGCCAGGATGTTCCTTCCTTCAGGACACCATAGCGGGGTCTCTGTTAGCACCCAGTCTTAAGGGCTCCTTTTGTTACAGGAGCTTTTGTTATCATAGTCTTTATCATGGCAGATTTTCTTACAGACTTTTAGGTCCTGACAGCAAGTAGAACATCCCTTCTGGCTGTTGTTTTGACACTGGATACAACTGTGGAAACTGTGGCTCTTGCTGGAAGAGCTATTCAATTTACCAGATACAACTAAATAAAAACACGTAAAAAGCAGATTTATAGCTGATTTTTTAGGGAACAGGAACTGAAAAGAGTGCTGTCTGCACTGTCCAGTTACAGAGAGTGGGCCTGGGCATGAGCAGCAGCTCTTGCCTTCCTTTCTTCATATTCTGCCTTCAGTTCCTGGTCAGGTGTTCTCTGTTATGTTTAACTGTACTTCTTACTGTAGCAAAATATGTAGCCTAAGATCTTTTGGCAGCTGAACTGCATAAAGAAAACTACCTTGCGAGATAAACGTCTGCTTGAATCAGGAGATGGTTACATGCTTTACTGATAATCTAAAAAGATATGCCATGTGTGGTGCATTATTTTTGTTCAGGTTTAGTCTACCTCTATAATATTTAGAGAAATTGTATTTATATTTAATAATATAACTTAAAGAGAACCAAAGGTTTCCCAAACTCAGGAACTCGATCAGATATACTATGAAATCATGCACATGGTACTTATTGTGATTTTGGAGATGTATCATGTGCACACAGCCAGAATTTTGGGCAGTGAGACAGTTAAAGAGCATGAATCTAGGCTGGTCTGTGCTAGAGAAGTCCAGAATCTGAAATCCAATTTATATCAGTCACCGACCTTCCATTAAGAGCTGTGGTGGAGAAATTATTTGTACAATGTTGGATTAGAAGTCTGCAGGGCAAGAAGGAAGAGCTTGACTTTAGGAAGGTGAAGTCACTTGTGGTCCAAAGAATTATCTCACAAACTCATTAAAGGGGGACTCAAATACAGCAATGTGTAGAGAAGGCTGCTCTTCACCTATGGCCAGCGTGTTGTGACCGTGTTGTTGCAATTTCGTGGTGAAACAGGCCTAGCAAGGGCTCCTCACGGAGACTTTCACTATGTGGGCAGGGTTTGCACAATATTGCAGCCATCCGTACAACAGGCAGCTTTCTCCAGAAAAGTTGGCAAATTCCAAACGGGTGAGAAGCACAAAACCACAACACGCTTGTTTTAAATGATGCAACAGAGTTTTAATGAGAATGAAAAGAACAAAAATACATTGCAGTATCAAGAAGGTACATCCAAGATGCCAGTCAAATGCATTTTGAAAGATGCTGTTAAATGTCTCACTGCATTCAGTCACCAGGATGATAAAGCAGAAGATAACAAGGAACTGAACCCATGAAGGTATCAGGAGAGAAGTCAAAGGGAAAAAGGAGAGGTGCAGAGCAAGCAGAAGTCACCATACTGAACAGGACCAGTGGGCTCTTTCCCAAAGCTGTCACTCATCTGCTCACTGGTGAATCTGCATTTTGGTTTTTTCCCTTGGATATTATTCAGTGGACTTTCCTGTTGCATTTAGCAGGGCCCACAGCTCCCACGGCTGTACGTGTTGGACCAGTAGGAGAAAGGGTTGCAATTGCTAGAAGCATAGC